GCCCGCCACGCCCGCCAGGCCCACCTTGATGCCGCCTATGCGGTGCTCCCCACGGAACTCCTTGCCGTTCTTCAGCCAGGAGATGGTCGGTGTGGGGTTGCCAGCGGCCGGGCAGCGGAAACGAACTGTGTTGGCAGCAGGCACGGCCAGCAGCTTCTTCTCCATCCGCTCGGGCCGGGTCCAGTAAGGGGCCCCTGGGTGGAGGTCCGCATGAAGGGACCGGCGGGGGGGAGGGGGCCTGCCCCCCTTTGCTTCCTCCTCTCCCAGACCCTCTCAAGAGCTGGGCCTCGTCAGGGTGCTCTACCCCGCCCGGGTGTGTCCCAGCGAGCCCCTCCCAGGAGGGACTGGCCGTGCCGGCCAGGCTGCCCACAGGAGCTCTGAAGCACGCAGCCGTATTTGAGCCCAGGGCCCAGTTTCTACTCCTCTGAGTCACCCTGGACCTCCTGGGGTTGGCACAGAGACCCCCAGGTGGGTGTGAACAACACAGCCCCCTGCCCAACACACACACACTGGCAAGGCTTCAGCGACTCCATGCTGCCCCCTAGCAGCCAGTTCCTGACAGGCACCCTGCAGCGACTGGTTCAGGCCACAAAGGCCTTTGGGGTGGAGGCGGCCAAGGGGCAGAGGCGGCCAGGAGCTCCTGGGTCTGTGGGGCTGGGGCCGGGGGCAACTGAGCTGAGAATTTTGCTCTGCACATACTGACAGCCATGGAAGGGGAAAGCAGAAGCCGCAGCTCAGGACAGAGCTTGGCTCCACAGCCCCACCTAGGCCTCTCCAGGCCCCATCCCAGGCTCTCCCCAAGTCACCCCAGCGGCTCTGCTCAACTCCTTACCTCCCACTGCACCACAGACCCCGCCGTGAGCACCGCACCCGACCCTCACCACACCCCCGACCCTCACCACACCCCCGACCCTCACCACACCCCCGACCCTCACCACACCCCCGACCCTCACCACACCCCCGACCCTCACCACACCCCCGACCCTCACCACACCCCCGACCCTCACCACACACCTGACCCTCACCACACACCCGACCCTCACCACACACCTGACCCTCACTATCCGCCACAGACCCCGCTGTGAGCACCGCACTGACCCTCAGTATCCGCCACAGACCCCGCTGTGAACACCGCACTGACCCTCAGTATCCGCCACGTGCGCCTCTCTCAACACCTCAAACTCCGCTGCCTTAAAGTCAGAACCCCACTTTGCAGCTGGCCCCTCCACAGTCAGCCAAGCCCCGGGCCAGACCATAGGGCCTGGTGTCCTCCCCTGACCATTCCCCCATGCCTGCTGCTCATCCGGGGGCCATCGCAGCCTCTAAGTGCCCCACCTGGAGCCGCCACCCTCTCCTCCTAGGACCCAGGAGCTACTCCCCGGCTTCTCAGTCCCTGGCCCCCGAGCCTGACCCACCCACTCATGTCCACACCACAGTCCCTCAGGCCAGCCTGGCTGCCCCAAGCCCAGGCCTCCAGCCGTGGCAGGCAGCCCCCCTCCCCCAAGCCTGGGCTCTGCTCACTCACCCGTGTCTTCGGCCATGTCTTCCCCATCTTCATCATCGCCCGAGGATGGAGTATCTGCAATGCAGGCGTGTCTGTGACCCTGGGGTAGGCCTGTGGCCAGGACCTGACACATCCTGGCCTTGGGGACCCTACTCACCCCAAGGGGACCCCAGGTGGCCCGCACAGGCCAATTATTCAGACAGCACTTCCTTGGAGGACTCTCCACTCTGCCTGGAGCCAGAGTGACCCTGGAGGCCATGCTGGGGGGAGGGACACTGGCCTGCAGGCGCTTACCTGTCACGCGCACGCTGAAGCGGCACAGCACTCGCTGCGTGAGCCGCTGCCGGCAGCTGTAGGCCCCAGCGTCATCCTGGGAGGCGTTCAGCACCCGCAGCCGCTGGGGCCCCACCAGGATCCGAGGGGAAGACACCAGACCCATGCCGTCCTTGACCCAGACGGTGGGGCCCACGGGGCCACCCCCCGGTGAGCGGCAGCGCAGCTCCACAGCATCGCCACTGCCAAAGGTCACCTGCTCCTGCTGGCCAGGCTCGGGCCCCGGGACCTCTGTGGGTGAAATGGGTAGACGGGAGGCAAGCGCCCAAGCCGCACCCCGCACACCAGCACCCCCACTTTGCAAACACACAGCAGGCCTGCAGGCCTCCACACGCTGCTCAAACCAGGGAGGGGCTGTTCCCAAAGAGCCTGAGCCTTGGCATTTTCCTGCTCTGCCTCCAGCCTCACTGTGGTCTGAGTATGAAAACTAGGACTTCAGGGCCGATCAAAATGCCAGGAAGAGCTGGGTGCTGAGGGCTTACGCTGCAGTCCTAGAGACTTAGGAGGCTGGGATCTGAGAACTGCGGTTTACAGCCAGCCCAGGCAAAGTCCATGAGACTCTTGGCTCCCACTATACACCGAGAAATGGAGCGGCGGTAAGAATAGTGATAGAGGGCTGGGAAGGTGGTTCAGTGGTAGAGCGCTTGCCTTGCATGCTCAAGGCCCTGGGTTCGATTCCTCAGCACCACATAAGCAAAAAGAAAAAAAGCCGGAAATGGCACTGTGGCTCAAGTGGTAGAGCACTAGCCTTGAGCTGAAGAGCTGAGGGACAGCGCCCAGGCCCAGAGTTCAGGCCCCACGACTGGACCCAAAAAAAAAAAAAAAGAATAGTGATAGAGTGCTGGACTTGAGTGAAAAAGCTCAGGGACAGCACCTGGGCCCCGAGTTCAAGCCTGAAGACTGGCATGTGGGTTTGTGTGCATGCGCACGCGTACACACACACACACACACTGCTGCAGGTGATGCAGAGGCAGGTGCCCGCCCAGCACGCACAAGGCTGGGTTTGCTCCTAGCACTGCCCCCACCCCAGTCATAAAGTATTATTCTTCTGTTGACATTTCCTTTTGGAAATATAAAGATCCATCTCGATGACAGGTGGCTGCATCCTGCTGGCCCATGGCTGAAGGAGATGGCAGGATCCTCTCCCAGCACCCGACCTCCTCTCTTCACAGGCGTTAAGGAAAGCCAGGGGACCGACACGCCCGGCCCAGCCACACAAGGGCCAGTTAGTGAGGTGAGCAAGCTGGCATCTGTGGGAGCTGAGCACCGCCTGGACGGGCCTCAGGGTCTGAGCGTGAGTGGTCTATGCAGCGTGTGTGCCGGATCCACACAGCAGAAACAAGACCAAACTGCAGAAGGCCCCCAGCTGGGCCAGGAGAGGCCCAGGTAAGCTCACAAGGGGGCCGGGGGCCTAGGACCCCACCTTTCCGGATGAGGTCCAGGCCCAGGGAGGAAGCTGTCAGTCACCAGGTGAGTGGTTTAGCACTAGAGCCACAGAGTTCTCAACCTGAGAACTGAGAAGTTGGGGCAAACAGACACAGGTCTGTCTGGCCTCTCCCCTGCCTAGATGCTGCCCAGCTTCTGAGGGTCCAAAGGCCTGAGACCCAAGACCCCCCACTACCAGCAAAGCTGACCGCTACCCAGGCCTTCTTGCCAGGAGCAGTGTCAGGCATGGGTTGCTGGGCTTGGGTCCCGGGACATGGGTGGGTGGTCCTGCTGGTCAGGCCTCCTTCCCACATCCAGCTGGACTGGCTGCCGTATTACTTGTCATTCTGCCGACGCACGGCCTAGATTCGAGGCCCAGCCGCCTACACTGGCTCCCTGGCCAGGCAGGCCCAATTCTGTCTGTCCCAACTATACCAATCCAACATGCCCAGGGTACACCAGAAGTGGCCACTCAGAAGGGTCCACCCTTGTCACCAGAGGTACCCACAGGGCTTACGTCCCACAGGGACCCACAGTGCGGAACACGGCCCGGGATGGGTCCACTCAGAGGGGCTCCTGGCCTCATCTCTGGCTCTCCAATACTGGTCACGGCCTGTGGGGACCACCCAGTGCCGGGGAGTGCCTGAGACCCCCCCCAGCCCTCCCCCCCCCCACAGCCAGGAAAGGCCAGACCAGTCTTGGTAGCCTCAGCTCCAGGCCCCAGCCCAAAGGCAACAGCTTGTTGGTTCCGGTTTGGTCTGGGCAGGGACAACAGGTCAAGCCATCTGCACAAGTATTTGCTTCAGTCTGGTCCAGTGAAGGAAGGGTTGGGACACAAGGACACATGGACACACAGACACCCACAGGCACAGACACAGACATACAGAACAGCCCCCAGGCTACCGTGTCTGGCAGGGTGTGGACTGGGGAGAACTGATCTCATACTGACCATCCCTAGTCAAGGGTCAAGGGTGGACCCTTGACCTGTCCACCCACCCTGCCTGCTAGATACCAGCAGAGGTCAGAGACGCCTGGACTTCAGGTGGCCTTAGGCAGCAGTGACTGCTTCTTGTGATGCCATCCCAGAGTCCAGAGGCCTGAGGGAGCTTGAAGATAGTTAGGCTGGGGGCAAGAAAGGAAGTGTGGTGTGGACCTGTGCCAAGCGGGCTCTGGAGGGCAGGCCTGCCACTTGAGGGGTGGGTGCACAGCTCCCGGGGCCCAGCCCCCAGGGACACCTGGACCCCAGCCCCCCGGGGGAGTCCCTTCCTGGTCACCGGGGTTGGGGGACTGTTGCCTACTTGGGAGGGAGTGGCCCCATTCCTGTTTCTGACCCCCACCTGGAGCCCAGAGGGGACGGGGTACACGTCATGAGCAGCCTCTGGCACAGGCAAAGAAAGGGGACTGGTGCTGAGCTGGGGTTCAGTTAATGTGGCAACTAGGGATTCAGTTCCCCCATTAAAACCCACTCAGGAGGACTGGGATCCAGAAAGACCACTTCACTTGGTAATGAGCAAGAGCAGTGGGCTTGGATGTGCCCCAGGACACAGACTGGGGGATGGCCGCACGCCTGGCTAGGGGTACCGGGCCCCCAGTTTGGGGTCACTCTGGCGGAGGCTCCAGTGCTGCTCACAGAATAAGCACCAAGTTCAGACTGTGTTTGGGTTTGGGAGCAAGACAGTCCTGGTCTCAGGGCACAAAGCACTGTGGTTTAGAACAGGCCACTCTCGGCAGGCAGGTGTGGGGTGGTGCCAGGCGTATGGCCTGAGAGGAGGAGGCCTGAAGCAATGTCTCAGGGTCTAGCCTTCCTGCATTTCCACCTCCAAAAGACATTCCAAAGGAAAGTTTCGTAACAAAATGGGGGGGGGGGGGCCTCCACCGGAGGCCACGAGCTAATGAGGGCTTACAGGGATTATCAAACCTAATCCTCCAAACAACTGACCATTATCAGTCCTCTCCCTCCCGTCCCTCAGGTAACAGACTGGGTTCCAGGAGACAGCTCTAGCCCCGCAGGCAGCCGCAGCCCAGGTCGGGGGCAGCTCACAGAACAGTTGTTCACTTGTAAGCCTCTGCCCAAGCACCAGGGCCTTCTTTCGACTAAGAATCCTGGGCCCTCTCCAAAATCCACCTCTGGGCCAAACTACGGGCACCTCTGTGAAGCCCCGAAGCCCCTCGAGACCACACAGTAAAAAAGAGAGGCCAAGGTCGCCAGTTCCAGTCCTGCGCCGACAGAGAGGAGGATGAGGAGGGGCTCCGAGGCTCAGAGAGGACAGAGGCCCAGGAGCAGCAGAGGTTAATGAACCACCCGAGGACAGCAGGGCTCAAAGTCCAGCCCTGCCCACAAGGGGTGAGGGGAGGCCTCAGCCAAGCCCTGGGAGGGGAGAGGCCCAGCCTTCCCCAGGTCCTCCTCCGGGTGTGGGGAACCTGCAGGCCTCCGGCGGCTGCCCCTTCCTCCTACGGAAAACACTGCCCAAGCAAAGCCAGAACAGAAGCTTGCCCCTGTGGCCCTAGGGTGGCCCGAGCAGATGGGGCCAAAGTACCCCCTCTCCCGCTCTTGACCCTCGCCAGCTCCTCCCGCCCGCCCCATAATTTATGTTCCTAGGGAAAGTGCCAACCAGGGCCTCTGTAAATTTCACGAGATCTTTGTATTTTTACTGCCCGGCCCATCTCCTTAAGGAACCGGATTAAGTTTATTGACCTATCAACTCCCTACCTACTTCACTAGCTTGGGGGACGTGGGGGGGCAGTGCCGCACACCCGGAGGCCTGTCCTGCCGTGGCCGCCGGAGTCTCCCAGCTGCTGCCCCCCCC